AACGAAACGAGAAACGGAAGACGAAAGGAACGAGACGAGTCTCTCTTCTCCGGTCAGTTGCAGGATCGCTCGAAAGTCGTCGGGATCGATCAAAAGACAATTTCACCGCGAACGCGCCGATTCGATGGCAGCCGGAGTGCGACAAGATGGCGCGTCGCGCGACGACCGAGACGCGAAGAGGGGGGAGAAAACGAGGTTCTGTTAAACGAACGCGTATCGTCGGTGGAAGAGTTTGTTGAACACAGGCCAAACGATAAAGAATATTGGGATGAACAAGAAGAGACACACACGGTAGATAGAGAGCGATACACAAGGGGTTGCAGGGGCGGGAGAAAATGGCGGCGAGACGAACGGGAACGGAAGTTCTCGGTTTTCCCGCGTTGGCGGTCCATTCTCGTGTTCATAGTTCCGGTAGTGTGTTCGGGGACTCCGACGCTTTCCCATCCTATTTCTTCCATCGACTATACGCTCTGTACAATTACAAATTGTTCGTGTTGACTTGTCGCTGGGCCGCGAGCGTTCCTGCGTTCGTCGCTGTCCGAACGAATCCACGATCAAGTTACTCCTGAACGTCTGTACGGTTGTTGAAATTATAAAGTTCAGTCGATTCGCGGATGGAACGATGAAAGCAGCTTCAAAGCTCGACACACTTTTTTGGGAGAAATTTGGGAGAAATCACCGTGATGGTTTTAGTGTTGCACCGGAGGTCTGAACCCTGGAAAGGCTGATGATTCTTAGTCCTAGTTGTACAATATTTGAACTGTTACTTCTGTGTAAGATATTTCAGAGGGGATGCTAAGTACGGCAGTGGTTCTTAATTTAATAGAAATGATCGAGGGTAATGACAATTAGGAAGAGAATTCGGTAGAATTCAAGTATCAGCTATCAGAAACAATCGAATCTCTGAACACTAGAACTACAAAGTCAAGCTGACCCTGATTCCTGATCTCTTTTTTTTATTATTATAAAATAAACAACACGATTCTCTGAGGAATCACCAAACAAATTGGTCCACCAACAATCAAATTGAATTGTAAATTAATAGAAACCTCGATAGACGAACTCTACGAGTTTCCTAGGGAAACTTCCGAGTCTTTGAAATTCAACCGTTGATACGAGATTCGAACAGCGCGGGACTCGAGCGGTTAATATTCAGGATTCTCGTATAATTTGCTATTCCGGAACACAAATGAGTTGCTCGGTCTTTCTAGGGTCGACGGGGGTTAACGAGGTGTTCGTTCGGATTCCGACGGTTCCATTCGAGTTGTAAAGACGCTCGCGGCCCACTGATCGTTATTATGGCTAACTAGCGTTATGATTATTGTTACTATTATTGCTACCGGTATGTGTGTACATGTATACATGTATAGCAGTTGTATGTATGTATGTATGTATGTACATATAGACACGTATGGTTTGGCAGCGGCGGCGTTCCTTTATTCGTGGCTCGATTTTCTTTTTCTCTGGTTTCAGCCCGCCACCCGTTTGCTGTGCCAGTGTCACCGATCAAACCTCCCCTCGTCGAAAGAAAAACGATCGTCCCCGAAAAACGCGATGGATATTCGGCCGGGCGGGTCGCCGGGTCGCGCTGTCGCGCTCTCGATCGTTCATCATCCCCCTGTCGCTGATCTGAAGTGCTGCGAGCTGTTCGGGGATCGTCGATCCGTCCCCCAGTTTCGATATTATTCGCCGGTACCGTTTAACCGGTTAACTGCGGAATTTCGTTTCAATGCTGCGACGCGTAATAGAATCAACCAATGACGAGCATACGCGCCGAACGCAGGACAAATATATTTAACATACATTAAAGCAAGGGATTAAAACGAGAAAGAATTGATTTCATTCGAAAGAATTAGCGTATTTCGGGTTTTTAATTGGAGCGTACGTTCGTCGATCGCAGTTAAACGGTTAAACACACGTAAGAACTTTCGATTCTATTAATTAACCCTTTGCGATCGAATGTCTCGATAGCGACTTCAAGCTTCGAAATTTCGAGTAATTTAATTACCGAAGTAATCGATACGCGCTTTCGTTTTTCACGATCGAGGACTTCAACGCGCAATTCAGTTTCCCATGGAAAGCGTTTCCAGTTTCAAAAATCCTCGTCGGCAAAGGGTTGATCCTGTTTCATTACGTTCCGAGTTCGAACGACTAGTCCTACGCGGGGACGGCGCTCGGTTCCAAGGAATTAGATTCGAGCGTCGAATTCGCGAGGAATTTTTTCCGACTGATCGGGTCACGTTCCCGGGATAAAGAGGAAAGGATGGTCACTCTGAATTCCGACGCGGTGCCGCGCCGTTCGTCCCTCGATCGATCGGCACTCGAGGGACCCGTTTATATTCGGAGCGGTCCTTTCGATGGCTTTCGAAGTATCTTATCGGCGAACCAATTATTCCCCGGTTCATTCGGGAATTAATTAAATCGTCGAGTGGCGTTTAACGGATCGGCCAGTCTCCGGCAGGTGTTCCTCGAAGTCGAGTACCTGATGAACACGAAACTGGATGAGCGCGATCGAAGCGTGCAGCGTGTGCCCTGAAAAAATAGAGAAAGGAAGACAGAAGGGTGGAAGAAGGGTGGAGACGAGGGGATGCGCGATCTTGCAACAATGCGTCGGATATACGGGTCAACGATGTTGCAGCGTTGCGGCCTGTTTTCCTTCTAATTTTGTCGGTTCTCCGTTGCGTTTTGTTTCCTTAGAAGTTATACTTCGACCGGGAGAGTCCTCACGGCACGGCGTAGATGGGAAAAGTCGGGCGGTGGGTTATCGATCATTAAGGAGCAGAAGATACATATATATGCATTATTCCGTACCAAGTACGGCTAGAGGCTACCGAGTAATTTAATATAGAATTATAAAACAGTCAACTGTATCGCGATTAACGGAGCACGAACGAAGAAAGGCCTGCATCGACCATGTTTCCTCCACACTTTTAACCCGATCCCCCGTTCCCTCCGAGAATCCCAATTTTTCCCCCCGTTATTCTAATATTCCTGCCTCCCTCTAACCCTCAACAAGAAACAAGACAACATACTGTAATCTATTGTAGATTGTTGTAGATAAATTATACGGTTTGACCGTACATTGTTACTTTTTGTCGACAATATAAAATACACAGATATATAAGTAACGTGTGTCATTCTTTGAATTCACCTATCCCTCGTTACCGGACTGGAACGTTTCTATCCGGGGCGGCTAATGAGAACGAGAGCTTCTTCGACGTTCGTTGAAATCACTTTTAATTCGTAGTCCGACAGAATATAAAAGACCGATACAGTTAAGCGTAACACGTTGAACAAATTTACCAGGTGTATCGGGTACCGCGAATCGACGCTTAGACACTAATTATGTACAGCTAGGATGACATTCATTTATTCCGGAGATCAGTGAGTAATCGATGGCATGCTCGGCGAACCAACCACGTCTATTATGTCTGCTTTCACTTCTGGCTCGGTTTTCGGTAGTAACGCTGGAGGTATCGTTAACGTCTGAAAAAACGAACGTTAGAGTAGCGTTCTTTTGTTTGTAAACGATGAAACTGGCTGTTGGATAGTTAGACCGTTACCTTCCCGGGAGCTAGAGCTTCGTATTGATGCCTCAATGATTGCAACTCGTAGTCGCACGTCGACAACGCGCTTCGCAGCTCGTAATGCAGGACGATATCACTTCTCAACTCGTTGAATTGTTGGCATATCTGCTCGGTGGGCGGTGGATTCAATTCTAGAAAGATGAAGACATTAGAATCTGGTTTAATGTGATTAAGATGAATTAACACATTCGCTATGAGCGCTTATTCCAATCCAATAAATCTTCTGAACACAATGTTAGAAAAATGAAATTGAAACTAGTCGAGTTCCTGAATATAATGTCATAGTTTATAATTTATAATGACAATATCTATAGGATTAATTTCATTTTCATTATGTAAAATACAGGATTACGGTCGTCACAAATGTGTGACGCTGGTAGCAAACGTGTTAGGGTAGAGCAATTGTGAATACCTAATCTCAGTTCATTGAGCATTTGTTCGATACCCTTCATCTTTTTCTGACCTAAGCTACTTGGCAACTTTATTCTTTGGGAGCGAAGCGACACGCCGCTATTTTTGAAGTCTGGGAACTTGATACCAGCCGACTCGACAGTCTGAAAGTGAGAAGACACGTTGAGCGTATGTCTCGAGTTTTCGTTCGCAAAGACAACAGGGAAATGATTTACGTGAGATGTATCAGTCTTATTTGGTCTGTTTCTGGAGGAAGCTGCGCTCTTCTTCGTAGGTTTTCTTTCATTCTTTCTTGGGTCAGCTTGATGATCAGCTGCTGTTATTAATTTCTGTAAATCCTGCGTTTTTCTGTCCCTTTCTTTCTTTCTTTGTTCAATCTTTCTTAACTCAGCCAGTAACATTTGCTCCTCTTCAACTTGTTCCGGTGTTCTTTCGAACAATTTTTTTAACTGCTCTTTCCTGCGCTTCTCATGTTCTGCATCAAATATATACACCTTATCAGTATGAGACTTTGCTTTCGTTAGAGCAGCGCACACTTGATAATACCTAAACATTAATGATAAATATGTGTAAACAGGTAATAAGAAACATAGGTGTGTGAACATGTAGAATGTATATTTGCCTCTCTTTCAAATCCTCCACAGATCTTGCAGGAAACTTGGTACGATCCCATCTGTCCTTGATTATTATAAACCTTAAATCGAATCTTCTACACAAATCGAATAGATGGTCAGTTTCTGCTCTGGTCCATCCATTTGTAACTAAATGTTGCACATATTCTGCGTTAGTGTATGTTGGAATAGGAACCTTTTTATTGAATTTGGCAAAAGGATATTCTTTCCCTGCATCTGCCACTCGTCTCCAATGATGGAAAACTGCACCGTCTGTTCTTGCAGGATTAGTGAAAGGTGTCCATTTCCATGGTCTAACCTTTTTCATACCAAGCTTAGCTCTGACCTGTTTGTATCCTTTCGCTGTATCCGTTGGAAACAACGGTGGTACGTCGTTGTTGTCTTTGCACAACAGTGCAAAAACCTCACGGTGCATACCCTCCGGTCGCTTAGGTACTTTGTATTCATATTTCTTCCGATTTTTCTTCTCACCTCCTATAATCGATTCCTTTGTGAGCTCACTGGTCGTGGGCACCTCAATGTCCAATATATCACGCACATCTGCCATTCTATCCAGTTTTGATAAACTTTAGACGTTCCCGATACGTTCAGAATAATTTTGAGGTTATGTGCAATACAGAATACTGAGTAAATACATTGTTATTTCCAATCCATCAGACAGAACACCTAAATCAGATGTGTCTAACTTACTCCCCTCACGCTAGTAACTCGGTAACAGCGTTCCCCACTATTTCTACTCGAAGAACCGCCTGAGGTTGTGTGTGTGACCAGTTCTATGCAATGTTCAACACAACAGGTAAAAGTAGGTATGGAAAGGGTAGCTTTTCATGAGAGGAGTGTCACTAGAGTGCCGGCAGGCACCGATTTAGACACCCCTGACCTAAATGTTTACAATGAAATACAGAAAACTCTGTCACTCAAAAATCTACTGCATCTTTGTGTACACATTATTAAAAATTAAAACCTCCCTACACCATATCGTAGTTGTTATTACATTAGACACTGGATATAATCTCATATATTCTACATGTAACAGAAAGTACAAGACATCACTCAAATTGGAATTAAATTAATTATCGAATAACTTCTAGCCAATCTTGTGTATTAATAACAATTAGCTCCGACAATATTAATTAATATTTAACTTGCGAAATATAGGTGACCAAATAAACATGTGGCGCCACATATGAGGAAACGACTGAACCACTATGATGATTTTTTGTATTCAATTCTGAAATACCGACATGCTAAAAATATCCTATGTTACTTAGTATATTAATTAACACCTGTTCGTGTTTTCAAAATTAGAATGTCGAGTGTACGTTTTCTCCAAGTTTTTTAACGAAATTTTAAAGTTACAAGCAATGCTTGTACATATCTTAAATCTGATGATCAATAATGAGTAGGCGCAAAAAATTGATTGACACGTAAAACGATACATCCGGACTTTGTTATTCTGTTGTTTTATATAATATTTCTCGATATCTATATCTTTCAGTAAAGAACTTTGCCTTTTGTTCTTTGATCATTTTTACCTGTCTCCCGCCCCCTATCGTTTCATTCTAAAACGCACGTCACGTATCGTACATGTGACAAAGCGATGTCAGTCGTATCGTTTACTGTACGCTGTGTCCTCTTACGGCACGTGGGAAAAATACAATCATATGTTACTGTACGATCTCTGTAGGTCACTATAACCTCAAAACATTGCATTATGCATAATCAATCTGTGAGTTGTAGCCTTTGAACGTAGTCTGTAGCATTAAGGCATTGTTACGGGATCGTTGTTCACGTCTTGTGATCGCCAAAATGGCAATTATGAAGATATTGCTACGACCAGACATCGCAAGGTTCACGAGTGTTAGAGTGAGTCATATTTCGTGTCATCATTGTTATGTTCGATTCTGGCTTCTGCACTTTAAGGTGGATCCGTCATGCATGCCTTCTTTTGTTTATGACTCGAATCTGTTGTTGACCTATTTTCAAGGAATCAGTATGAATACGTCAAAAAGAGAACGACAATCAAGAGCAATAATGTTCGTATACAGCATCTTTAGAACACTTTTCCATGCTTAATATAAGTCTTAGGAGTTTTTTGTTCGTTTTCATTGTAAGCCTGTTCTAAATGTATAAACTAACAATTCGAATTAATTGCCGATGTTCTATAGGTAAGAGTTATGAATGAAATTTCGCTTTTAATTCATTCAGAGTAGAGTACAGTTGATTCTCATTGTACAATAGTAAGAGGCAAATGATGAAAAGTTTATGTCACATTACATTATGAGCTGGTATAAAAATATACTGCATAGCTTTCGAGTCAAGTATATTTTTATATCCTGCTTCAAGGTCTGTCAGACAGTGCAAATGTCTTGCTCCAAAAATATGAGGTACTCATACAACACCAAAAATTGTCAATCATAATTTTAACATATA